ATGTCATTGATATACGGCAAAATAGATTAAGAGAGTAAATAGTAAAGAGAGTAAAACTTTAAACAAATTATTTACAATCTTTTAAATAATTTAAATTATTATCTCTTAAGTTAAAGAGTCACACATTAATTGTAATGTTTAAAACTATTTTGTAAATAAAATATAATTTTACAAGCAAAAACAAAACCTGAAAAATATTATAATAATGTTTCAGTATAAAACAACTAATATGAGTTTCAAATGACATTGATAATTAAAGCTATACCTCTTTATCTCTATGCTTACTACAAATAAAGCTAAAATTAGATTTATTTCACAGCATTCTATCTGGCCAACATTCCCGTTGTTGTACCCATACTCTGAAACCTCAAAGACGCCAAGAGAGCAGATCCAATGCAAAATCAAAGAGTCTTTTTAATTTAACTCTGATCCTGTGAAACAGCAGGTGGGGTGGGAGGGACCTTGAGCCACACTGGGACAGGATATGTATTTGGGGTAGAGCAGGGCAGATGTCTGGGTGTCTGATAGCTTTATAGCAACAGTCTCAGGTTTGGCACAACTTCGGGATGCGTGAACCTGAGTTTACTAGTCACCAGCAGCTGCAGAAATGTTGCTATTCCTGGAGGTCATCCAAAGGCCATTGCTACCTACTGCATTTCACTGTTGTCAGTAAAGCATGTCCAAAGCCCACCAGCTAACTTCTGATTGATTCCTTACCTCATGCATTTTATCTGGCAGTTTCTTCTTAGTAATTAGGGCAAGGTGGTTGTTGGCTGTGGGGGGGGGGGGACTCAGCACATCCTGCTGAGTTAGGGGCCTTCATCTTTCTGGATCATCGCTGAAGCCCATCATGGCTACCAAAGCAGGAGCTTAAGTGAGCATCTGGGTCCTTCACCGGGATTCACAAAATCTACATGATTTTTTTTACGTTTTATTTATTTATTTATTTATCATTTTTTATTTTAATTTTAAATAGCTTGTTTTACATGTCAATCCCAGTTCCCTCCCCTCTTCCCGCACTCCCCTTCCCCCCTCCCTCCAACCCTATTGCCAAATCCTTCCACATAGGGGATATCTAGAGTCTGTCATTTTACTCTTGGTAGGGTCAAGGCACTCCCCTAAGAGTCCAGGCTGAGAGAGCATCTCTCTTTGTGCTATAGGCACATGAAGACAGTTTGGATACCAGGGATAGACACTGATCCACAGCTCAGAGCTCCATAGGTTGCCCAGGCCTTCTCACTGACACTCACATTTGGGGGGTCCAGATCAGTCCCATGCTGGCCTCTCCACTGTCGGTCTGGGGTCCAAGAGCACTCCCCTGTTCAGATCAGCTGTCTCTGCTGTTTTTGCCAGCCCATTCTTTGCCAATTTGCTCATCACTCCTCTCTCTCTGTCACTGGGTTCCTTGGGTTCAGTTCAGTGATTAGTTGTGTGTTTGCCTCTGCTTCCATCAGTCACAGGATGAAGGCTCCCGGATGGTTATAGACATCAAGTTCATTATCAGGAATGGGCATTCGAGGTGGTCCCCACACTATTGCTTAGCTTGCCAATTGATGTTATACCTTTAGATCACTCGAGGTCACTCTGGTGCCTGATCTGTCTTCGATCCTATGATTCCCTCTTCCCCCTATTCTACCCCCACCCCCTCAACTTCCTGATTTTTTTTTGCATCAAGCCTTTCTCTATTAAAGCAGTTTAGTCAATCATTTCCTTCAATAATTACATTTGAAGAAAACTGCAAATCCACAGGAGCAAGAACACTCCTTGCTAGTGGGAGTGCAAACTTGCACAGCCACTTTGGCAGTCAATATGGCAGATTCTCAGAAAATTAGGAATCAGTCTACCTCAAGACTCAGCTATATCACACCTGTACATATACATAAGGATGTTCTGACATACCACAAGGACCCTTGCTCAACTATGTTTATAGCAGCTTTATTCATAATAGTCAGAAACTGGAAAGAACTTAAATGTCCATCAACCAAATAATGGATAAAGAAAATCTGGTATATTTACACAATAGAGTATTACTCAGTTGTTAAAAACGATATCATGAAATTTTCAAACAAATGAAGGAAACTAGGAAATATCATCCTGAGTGATACAATCCAGCCCCAGAAGGACAAACAGGGTGTTTACTCACTTATAGGTGGATATTAGCCAGAAAGTAAAGAATAAGCATGATACAATTCAAATAACCAAAGGAGATAGGTATACAATGAAGGCTTCAGGTGAGACACATGATTCTCACAGTGAAAGGGAAATAGAATAGACATCACAGGTGGATGGGGGAGAGATCTGGGTGGGGTTGCGTGGGCATGAGAACAGGAGGGATCAGTTTGAGGGAGGATGAAGGGAGAGAGTACTGGGAAAGACAACTAGAATCAGAGGCACCTTTGGGATAAGCTAAAAACATACTGCAATGGAAACTCCCAGGATCTGTGAGGGTGTCCTTAGCTACGATTCTTAGCAATGGGGAATACAGAGCCTGAGTAGGCCAGGAAAGACTTCCAGTCGAGGGACTGAGACCCCAATCCAGCCACAATTTGTGCTGTCTACAAGATGTGCTGGGATAACCCAGAAAGTAACCCAGAAATTACGGGAGTGGCCAACCGAAGACTGGTCCAGCTAGTAACCCTGAGAAGGACCTCAGTCATGACAATGCCTGTAGGGACAGGACCTAGAGGTTGGACAGCACAGAGACGTGGTATAGCAACAAACTGGCAAAAAAAAGACGAAAAAACAATCAATGAAATGATTCCTAATGATAATCTCTTTTTCTCGTACACTGTTGATTAGCCCAATTGTCATCAGAGAAGCTTCAGCCAGGAACTGATGGAAATAGATTCTGAGACCACAGCCACACATTAGACAGAACTAGGGAAATCCTGTGGTAGAGGTGGAGGAAGGATTATGGGAGCCAGAAGGGTCAAGGATACCATGGAAAAATACACAGAATGAACTGATCTTGGCTCCTGGACTCATGGAGAGGAACTGCCAACCAGAGAACATTCATGGGATAAACCTAGGCCCTCTGAATATGTGTGGTAATTGTGAGAGAGAGAGCAGAGAATGTCTCTGACTGTTACCTTCTCATGGTACCCATTCCTCATGGTGGGTTGCCTTGTCCAGCTTTAATAGGATAGGAAGTACCTAGTCTTGCTGCAACTCAGTATCCCATGGCTGGCTGATATACATGAATACCTGCCCTTTTCTGAAGGCAAGGAAGAGGGAATCGATAGAGGTGGATTGAGAGGAGGGATGGGGAAGAAAAGAAGGATAGAGAGTATACTGTAATCAGGCTCAGAAAAAAATTGATTAATAAAAATAATTTTTAAAAATCTAAAATAAAATAAACACCACTTAAGTGTTAAAAAAGAACTGCAAGTGTAAGGGAAAGAGAATAAGACAGTTTGCTATTGCTTCTTAATAAGTCATGGCAAAACATATCTTTCAAATATTTCCCATGTACACATATTAGAGTCACCTTGCAAGAAGGCTTTGTTCTGTATAAGTCTGTATATGGTGTGTGTGCGTGTGTATAGATGTTTATGTACATATATGTGGAATATGTATGCATGAATATAAACAGTGCATGTCCACATTGAGGCCTGAAGTAGGCATCATGCTTATGATACAAGGATTCCATCACTTAACCATAAATTGCAATATTTAGATCAAGGGAGTTATAAATAGTAATCTTTAATGTTATCCATGTGCTAAGAACCCATAGACAAATGTTTAATTTACACAGTAATTCAAATGTTCAACCTTTCAAGGAAGAATGCTCTACAACAGTGTAGAGTAAATGAAATTTGTTTCTAAGTGTTGTATATATACACATATACTTATAGGTGACAAATTAGAACATATTCAAAATAGCCAAAAATTATGAAGCCATTTCTACTTTCTTTAATAATTTTTTAAATATTTTACACATTTTTTTCTAAAATTAACATATGCAATTTCTTATACTTTAGTTATGCTTGGTTATTTTATTTTAAATTTAAAATATAAAATGAAAATCTGTTTTTTGACTATAATTTTCTATTACAACATTTGAAATAAATTCGTAAGACAGAAGAAAATATTCCTCCACATATGCAATGCACATTGAAAATTGGCAGGATTATAAACCCTGTAATGACAATGCCTGTTTCATGATTATCTCAAATCTCTTAAACCTATCACTTAATCAGATGCACTTAACATTTTTCTTTATCTTGTACAATAGAGAAAATAATATTTTAAATTTTAATTTACTTTTAATTGTTCCTGTGTGTCTTTGAGTGTGTATGTGTGCATGTGCATATGTGTGTGTGTGTGTGTGTGTTTGTTTGTGTATGTGTGTGTCTGTGTGTAGGTGAGGGCATGAGAGATCAGGATACCATAAGCAGGTATTGGATCCTCTGGAGCTGGATTTACAGCAGGTTAGGTTGTAAGCCACTAGATGTGGATACTGGAAACTGTTTTTGGGTCTTTTACCATAGCAACACAGTCATGTTCTTAATGGCTGAGCGTTCTGCCAGAGAAGAAATAGCTTTGAACTTTAGCATCCTAACGATCAAAAGCTAAAACATACTAAATCTAGAATCCAAAGCTCATAATCCTTGGTTCAAAATAAGAGCACTTCACCATTCTGTGTATTTTTTCCTGAGATTAAAAAACAAATACTTCTTTCTCATTATACAAAAGTTATGGCTTCATAATTCTCTACAATTATAGAATATGTAGAATATCACACAACATAACTCTAAGAATGAAGATCATTGTCCCATCAGTTGTCTTTAAAATACACATATTTATATAATTGATTTAGTATGTATTTCGTATGATGTAGATTTCTAAAATGTTTCCTTAGTAATATCTAGGATCACATTGTATTATGTAAAGAAAGCTCCATACAAATTTAAATTAAGTATACAATACGCTTTCAATAAAGACCAAGGAAAGACCTAACAGGAAAAATACAGAGAGAAGGGTCTAAGTGCTGAGCTCCACTATTTTCCTAACTGCCTGGGGTTCTCCCTCATCTTTATAACTTTACAGACAGCACTTTTCACTTCTTTGTTCCTGAGACTATAAATTAGTGGGTTCAGCATGGGAATCACAATGGTGTAGAAAACAGAAGCCACTTGATCCTTTCCCAAGGAATAGGACTTCTTTGGTTTTAAATACGTGAAGATCATGGTACTATAAAATATGGTGACTGCCAAAAAATGAGAGGCACAAGTGGAGAAGGCTTTTCGCTTTCCTGAAATAGAACTGATTTTCAAGATGGCTGAGAGAATGGATGCATAAGACATTGATATGATGAGAAGGGACACCATTAGAGTTGAACCAGAGACAATGATTATTATCATTTCAAAGACATAGGTGTCACTGGAGGACAGGGCTAGAATTGCAGGGGTGTCACAGAAAAAGTGATTGATGACATGAGAGTTGCAGAGATTCAACCTGCTTAGACAAAGCATATTGACAGAGGAATCAATAGCACCCATCATGTAGGAACAAATGAGGAGGGCGTGGCAGCGTCTTGTGGACATAACAACCGGGTAGTGAAGAGGGTTACATATAGCTACATAGCGGTCATAGGCCATGGAGGAGAGAAGAAAACATTCAGCACCACCAAACAAGACAAAAAAGTACAACTGGCTGAAGCAACCCATGAAGGAAATATTCTTGATGGAAGTCAGCAGGTCCTCTAAAGTTTTAGGTGTGATGACAGTTGAGTAACTGAGGTCAAGGAATGACAGGTGGGTGAGGAAGAAATACATCGGGGTGTGAAGCTGGACATCTAGATGAATGATCAGTATCATGCCTATGTTCCCCAGCACAGTGACCATGTATATCAGGAGAAACAGCACTGAGAGGACCAACTGGATCTCCTTGGAATCTGTTAGTCCCATGAGGATGAAGTCAGACTCATTCGTGTGATTGCAGGTGTTCATTGTGAATGGTCCTAAATGGAAGAGAAATCAAAAGTGATTTTAGTAACAACTGTGCTTGGACTAAGAATTACAAGTACCTGTGTAATGTATTTAGAATTGTTTTCCCATGAAAGAGACAGTTTATAAAAAGTTAAGATAAAAACTGTCAGATATTGATGCAGATTAGCAATTGGGAATGTTAGAAACACATCCAGGATAACAAAGAAAGAGTCCACTACTCCAAAAACTGTGTCTGAACAAGGCAGACCTTCACTCTTTATCAAAATGCTGTGCTCAGACAAACAAATCATTCCAAATTAGAAAGTGATTTTTATCTAAGGCATATGGTATCTGATATCCCTCCCACTGACAGGGGTCTGACCTCTCAGTCTTTAAGATTACTTAGGTTTAAGGGAATCCTTGCCAAGAAAATGAAGGAAAGCAAGGAGGGCTTGGATACTTAAAAATTCCTAGAATATAATAGGGCCTTAATGGACACACAGGTTTTACAGTGTGTGTTGAGTTGTGTGTGTGCGTGATTGTCTTATAAGGTGAAGAAGACAAAAGATTTGCATTCCTTGTCACAAACACAAATTTTACAACGTTTGATACAAAATACCAATATTTAATATTTATTTTAAGTATGATATGAGAAATGATGACATTTCACTTTATCAACCCTGTTCCAGCTCCTTACAGTTAAAATTGGAATTTAAAGTTGGAACAAAATTGAAAATGCTACAGCATAAACTGGTGAAACCTAGTGAACTTATGAATACCCTCCTTTTACTCATTCTTCGTAGCAACCTCAAGACTATGAGGGGAAATTTTTAATTCTTCACATTATAAAGCTGAGAAATATGAGGTCTTCAAAGAAAATCAATCACAAAAGACTGTGACAGACTTTAGTTATTTAATAGAGGACACATTATTTCTTTGTCAATCTGTAATATTAATTAAAGTCTTTGTTACTGCTTTATGTTTATAAGTATTTTGCCTGTAAGTATATTTGTTCACCAAGTTCATGCAGTGTGTGTGTAAGACAGAGGATGGTGTCAGATCCTTTGGAACTGTAGTTAATTAGTTATGATCTGCTAGGATCGTGAGCTGAATTGAGCCGAAGTTCTCTAGCAGAACAGTCAAGGTTCTTAAGCTCTGAGTCATCTCTTTATCTCCTTAATTAAAGTCTTATTAAGCACCTGTATGGAGCTACAATTAATAGTTTGAATTAAGCATTTTGGAGTGCAAATTTTTATATCTTAGAATTAGAAGAAGGAAGTTGTTGTTCACAATGCTTTCTTCCCTGAACACCTTTAATATCCATTAGTATGTGACACCACAGGTATTGCAGTCACTTACATATTTCATTTTAAAAAAGGGCTAAGAAAAGTTGCTTGAAGGAAGAAGAATTAAAGCATTGTGATTCTTCTTAAAATCTCAGAATTTACAGCATTTTAAACAAATCATAATCAGGCTTTATAATTAATCAATAATAATAGGGACAATTACAGCATACCATTTAGTTCCCCTTTAATCTCAAAATCATTCAACACACTATAAATAAATTTCAGTCTTAAGCCACATTATTGTGGTAAGCTATAATTATAGATATTACGATACTTGATCAATCTAAACCTAAGAAAATATACTTCAATACATTTATATTGAATGTAGAGCATGACTTTGTCAACACTACATTTTTATTTCTGCAAATACCAACACAGTTCATGATAAGACACAAATAAAATGGTCTAAAATATTCTAAACTTGAGGATACTGACCGTGAGTCAAGGATTGTCAGGATACTTCTTCCTCAACTATAGTCTAGAAAAGTTTCAACATTAAATTTCTAGTACATAAGTTATAAAAGCTTTTAAATGACTTGTAGATTTCTGTACAATGTTTGTTTTCATTGGGGTAGTTATTTTTATATTTTTGTACATTCATTTTTTAAAAAATATCAATGAAAACAATCTACAACAAAATTTTTAGTCTGGTCAAATGAAAATTTTAATAAGAAATTTGGTCTCCAAAGTATGGCAAATACTTAAACTCCTCAGAGTAGTGTAGTCATTGCCTCTCATCCTGTTGAGGAAAAGGGCCTCTTATAGCCAACACTGAAGATCGTACAACATGTGATTTTCCTTAGGGACTAGTTTCCAGGGGAATGTACTTGGTACACTTTCAAGGTCAAAAGTTCAAGGGCAAATGATCAATGGCTTTTTCTCTCACAATCTCTACCAAGAGCCACAGCCTCATTTGATGTTCTTTCCTGATACCTTGCATGAAAAATAACTATTTGCTTTTAAACTGAACTAATAATTACCAAGCTTTACATTGAATAATGATCACAGAAGGTCTTTTTTTCGGATGAGAAGAAATGTTCATAGAAACAAGTATTTTAAGCCTCGTTTCATAAAAACGGAAAATAATCCTTTATTGTGAACATTTGAAAGCCATATTTTTTTTCACTCAGGAATAGACAGTTTAATAAGGAAAAAAGATAAGTACAACAGATTTCAAATGAGGCAATGAAAGAAAATGAAATTCTTTTTTGATATTTTGCTAACAATTTTAATTTGTCTCAATTATTTTCTCCTTGTGGGTACATAATAATTACTTGAGCATACATTTATATTTTTACTTATTGTTTTGAAACAGGGTTTCTCTGTGTAATAGTTCTGGCTGTCCTGGAATCTGCTTATAGACCATGTTGGCCTAGAACTCACAAAAATTGCCTGCTTCTGTCTCCTGAGTGCTGGGAGTAAATGCATGTGCCACCATCGTCTTTCTATTTGCTTAATTTATTATACTATTGTCAATAGTATAACCTCAATTATATTAAAATTGCAAAAAGAAATTAATTAATGTTTTAATGAGTTTTAGAATAGTACAGATTATTTGTGTATATAAATGGCGTGGAACAATAATTTATTTATATAGTAGGGAGTGATTTATATAGTATTTATGTAGTAATATTTATTTAGTAATATTTATATAGTAGGCAGTAACCAGCTCAGGGAAAACAGCATAGTCTTATACTTTTAGCATTTCAATATGTCCTCAAATTATTTTAAAATTTTGTAATTTGGTAAGTTTTTGAATAGAAATGTAGAGTACAACAATGAATATTAATGTACTCGGTAAGAAGAATTTTCAAACAATTTCTTTTCATTGACAAATTTGTTTCCTCTCTAATGCCTGAAATATTTTCCTGAATTTAGTAAATTTAAAAGTTCATACTATTCATTTTATATAAAATTTTACTTTAAAGTTGATGAATATTTAAACTGCAAGAATATCTATGACTAACAACATCACTAAGCTCTACAATTGGCACATTGGATGAAAGTGTGTTGTTTTAAAGATTGTGTAACAAATTGTAATTGAATTTCATTTCTCACTGTTCAACAACTAGAAGATATCAAGAATCTTGCTGGTGTTGAACACAATATAAGATTGTTACCTTAACCATCAAGTATGGCAAAGACTAAGGGATCTGGAGTAGTAAAGCAAAATAAATGACTGAATATTAGAGACAGACACACTTGTGAGAGTCAGCACTCCAGGGTATAGAAGTAAAAGAAAAATAGAAGACAAATGGATGGAAAGTGTCCAAAGGAAAAAAGAGCATAAATAGGTATTTAAAAATAATTTTGCCAATAAAAGAACTGTAGTTTTCATGTCTATGTATTTAATATCACAAGAAGCAGGATAATTACACAAAATTTGCTAATATCAAATAATATTAATATTTGAAATTATTTGCATTATAATGCAATAATACACATATGAATTCTAATATCTGTTTTTACAAGAATGAAGATGAAATCTCTTTAGGAGATGCTTATTTGACATACAAAGCTGTAATAACTGCAAGCCAGATATCTATAATTAGATAAAATCAGAAACACGGCATATACCTTTCCGTGCACTCAATCCTTCATCATATGCATTCACAAAGGTAAAACAAACTGAAGCAACAATAGCAGAAGGAATATATTTACATAGAATAGGGCTATATACAATGTATCAATAAAATATTTGAATAAAAGTCTAGAAATGCAGTTTTAACACACTTAAGCAATGTTATAGAACACTGTTATTATGTATTGTTAAATACAAAATAAATATAAAATTAAATATAGGTAGAGTTTTACTGAAATGTTGCAAGTCATCTGAGCACAAGTCTGTGACTTAGGACACAAAGTATGTTTAACAGCTAAATGGAGCAAAACTGTGACTGTTAGGTTCTAATGGCTCAAAATCATGTTCTTGAGGGTAACAGGTTGGTTCCCAGACTCCATATGATAGCTGATAACCATTTGTAACTCCAATGCCAGAAGATGGGACATCTGTTTCTGGCCACTGTGTTCATGAGGCACACACATGGTGATGTACTTATATTCATATAGGCAAAATAATAAAATCTATAAAATCTATAAAAAAGAAGAATGTTTGTAGCTTAGGGTGATTTATTGAAATATGTACTTATCTTCTAATTACCTCATACAGTTTTATTATATGAACAATTTATGATTTTAAATAACCTCCTGATGAATTTAGTATATCCCATAAATGAATAAAATAACAATTCATATCTCAAATTGTAAGAAACTATGTTCTCAATAAGTTTGTGTTATATTTTTTGAAGTTACTTTACAATTTCCTGACAATTGAAGTAACTAAATATTTGAAATTACCCAGGTCATTTTTATTTTCAATAGGCATGGTTTATCATAGAAGTTTCCTGTGTATCACTCTCAGGAGAGCATTTTTCACATCTTTGTTCCTCAGACTGTAGATCAGTGGGTTCAGCATAGGAATGACAATGGTGTAGAACACAGAAGCAACCTGTGCCTGGGTGAGGGATGATGTGTTATCAGGTGTCAAATACGTGAAAATCAAGGAGCCATAGAAGACAGTGACCCCTATGAGGTGAGAGGCACAGGTAGAGAAGGCCTTCCACCTGCCAGCTGCGGACTGGATCCTTAGGATTGCTGAGATGATGATGAGGTAAG